ACCAGGTCCATCTTCCTCAGGATCAACACGTAAAAAGATCTCAAGGAAAACGACAACAAAGAAAAATAAATAAACTACTCAGCATTATTATTTTTGGCCCATAATACGTTTTTCTAGTGTATAATCATGTCTTTATAGCTTATAATTCAATGTATTTTGTTCATTACCAATAAATTATATTTTGTCGTATTTTTACTCTTCTTTCTCTACATTTTTAGTACACTTCTAAGCAAGTTAGGATTTTCTGCTCCTTTCCGTAGATCAGGTCACATATATTAATTTTTTTTATTTCACAAAAAAGAGCATCGTTTTCTATGCCAAATACATTTTTTCCAGCACCACTGCACCACTGTGATGAACAACAGACCACTTTTTAAAAATGTCTATTTGATTTTTGTACTTTTCAAAAAACAAAGTTTTAAATTTGACCAACAAAAAAATAACAACCGATGAAATCCATCATAGCAATCAAAAAGTGAATTTTGAATTTTTTATAAGTTACGACTTTTGCATTTCAGGTGACGATATGAAACAAATATTTCATTTCACTTTTTAAAAACAGAAACATTGTTTTCAAAATATCAACGGACTTCTATTTCTTTATATGTAAGGAGCGCTTTAATAATTTGATTACTCATTTTACTCACAATGTTGATTAATCATACAGGAAATTACACAAATATTTTAGTGTTTTAGTTTGATTACTCGAGTAACTGAACTTTTTAATAATTATAATTTCTAATTAATCGAATTATTGAGTTATTTACTTTATGATTAATTAAAATTTTTACTTATCAAATAATCCTTATGAAAATAATTAAGTTTATTTTGATGACTTTTAAATTTAAAATAACTTATTACCACTTCAAATGTTTGAAAAGAAAAAAAATACACATCTTCTTGCGCTTGCTTAGAAAATTTTTTAAGCAAACTTTCAATTTACATATCGTCACTATACACAAATAAAGTCGCGCGAGTGTTTAGAGAAACGACGCATGAAAAAAAAAACTAAAAATACGCCTAAAAACTTCGACGAAGAAAGACACGTAAACGTGTTTACTGTTACACCCACAAACGTAGTTCACCGCGAAAATTAGTTTACGGATCGTTAGCTGTTGGATATTTTTCACTCGATATCTATTCTAAGAAAAATTAATTTGCCACAAGAAACTTCCCAATAGTTTTTTTGTCAAGACAACAGGCTTGTGGTGAAAATATCTATGACTCATTTCTGGCTTGAATTAATAATATAATTTAATAATACAGCTTGTTGCACATAAGCAAGAAATAACGATGCCTACATAATGCGTGATTATGCAGATGCCCGTCAATAATAATAATCAGTACATTGTTCATTTCAAGTAATATTGTAAAAAATAAGTGCATGACGTATTTAAATTACGAATTTTCATGATAATTTTCGATTCCCGCAACCATCCTTCCATGCAGCTGCATGTGGTTGTGTGAAGCATGTCAGTCCAGGGATGGGCGTAATCAGGAAAATTAATAATTGAAAAAAATAAGAATAAGTTTTTATTCATCATTTCAACAATTTTGAATGACGAATAAATTTTTATTCTTCATTCAAGCAATTTCAAATAACGAATAAATTTGTATTCTTCATTCAAGCACTTTAGAATGATGAATAAATTTTTATTCATCATTCAAGTGATTTCAAAAAACGAATAAATTTTTATTCATCATTCAAGTGATTTCAAAAAACGAATAAATTTTTATTCTTCATTCAAGCACTTTCGAATAATGAATAAATACTTACTAACGAATCTATTTTTATTCTTCATTCAAGCACTTTCGAATGATGAATAAATTCGTATTCATCATTCAAGTAATTTTAAACAACGAATTAATTTTTATTAATCATTCAAGTAATTTCGAATGAGGAATAAATTTTCATTCATGATCCAAGTAATAACGCATAATTTTTCATTTATTCATTCTTTCTTGATCACAGTACCAGTTAGACGATCATGGTAAATGTTCGTGTCTTATATACATGTTTATTGTGTGTGAAATATTAGAAAATATATCAAAATCTACATATACAATACAATAATTTGAGTTATGAATTTTTTCTTACAGCGAGGTTGAGTAAAATGGTTACCTTACAAATTAACAAATATTTTGAATTTTTTTCGAATTTTTTGAGAATGGGGTTTCGTAGCCCATTTAATTTCAGTATAATAAAAAGCAAGTTGTACGCCCCATATTGTATGTATGTATATATATACTAGCTTGTACCCGCGGGTTTCACCCCGCGCTTTTATACAAATATTTCGTTATAGCTCGTTATTTTTTAAGCGAGTTAAGGTATTTAGGCCGTTTAAAACTATGAAATTATAAAATCTCGTATGCGCGCTAGGCATACGAAAGATATCAATCCCTCTAAGTTTACCCTAAAATGGTTCCAGGTATACGACGCGTAAACACGTAACCTTCTTGGAGGTGTCACGGCGGGTTCTAATATTTCCAACTCAAATTTAGTAACCTGGCCTTGATAAAATACCACTTCTCATTACTGTAGCAAATGGCTCAAGAGAGCTTTAGATTATAAGGCCGAACCCGGCTCTCCCTTTTC